CGTTCCAGAAGCAGCCTGTTGTAGCACATCTGGATCCGAGCCGGCCCACTTCCCAACGGCAGAGGGAAACCACTCACCTGTCTGTGTTTGAGGAAATCCAGAGCGATCTGCACATTCTGCAGCTTGTGGAAGCGCATCCGGCCCTTTTCCCGTGGCTGTGGGGGTGCAGAGAGAGAGAGAGAGAGAGGGATGAAGAGGGGGAGACACTTTGGGTTTGGAGGATCTCTAACGTGGAGCTCCGTGACCGTGGAACCAAACGGCCCTCATGGAGCTGCAGGCTGAAGCACAGTAAATGTCGGGGTTCTGGTCCGGCCCGTCGTCACAGATCGGGCCGAGACGTCTGCAGTGGAAGCATGAAGATGGATGATGAAGGTCACAAAGCCAAACTGTCAGCTGATGGCTGCGGTCCAGGTCTGTGACCAGAACATGCACTGCTACCTCATCATTCAAGATGGCCGCCGCAGCTGATTAGCTTTAGCAAAAGCTAACGGAGTCTCCCAACTCCTCAGCGATCGACTCTTATTTCATCAGGATGTTCTAAAGGTTCTCGGGTTCTCCGGCTGGTCCAGAGCATCACTTCCTCTACCTTCTACATCCATCAGAGATCTTCTCGTTCCAGATGTTCACACCTGGATCTCAGGCTGCAGGTGTACTAACAGTGGAACGGGATGCAGAACTGTCCTCTCTGAGGGAAGCAGCTTCCATCCACGAGCGGAAACCCCTAGGGTCAGCAGGAAAGACCCCGGCTCATCCCTTTAGTTATGCTACCACCGTTAGTTCATCGTTTACAAAAACAAAGACGCCGCGGCTCGCTGATGAGATGAGAAACAGAGAGACACAAACGAAAAAGAGACGATGAACAGGAAGTGACCGCCATCATGCAGCGCCCCAGCGGGGGGGTGGGGGGGAGCAAAGACCGGGAGCCACTCACCAACCGCACGTTCCTCGCGTCACGTTCCCTCAGCTACAGCACGAGCATCACGTGAGAGGAGGGCAGAGGGCAAAGGTCAAGGTGAGCAGACAGGAAGTAGAAAAGGGAAACAAAGCTCAGACACGACAGAAGTGCAGAACGGTTACAGGACGGAAGCAAGGAATGAAATTAGTGTCTTATAGAAGAATGTCACAGCCGCAGCGTGGACGGGAACGTCCGGACTCATCTGGGACACATGCAGAAGGTCAGCCAGGGTTCCGTCTGACGCGGGAACGTTTACAGCCACACACGGACAGAACCGAGACTCCAGCAGAGGAACATCTGGCCCAACGCTCACCAGAGTCTCTCCAGAGAGAACCTCCAGCAGGGAGATCAGGTTGTGTCCATCCCGGAGGTCTTCGTACAGATCCGTGATGTGTCTCTGGGCCTGGAACGACACAGAAGGTCACTGACCTCCACACTCCAACAGAATCTAGCCGGGTCGGGTCTCCCGTCACAGAACCTCCTGCTGTCCAGGAAAACCCGACGTCGTCTCAGATGTTAGAATCAAACACACTTTTATTTCTGGCTCAGAAACGTTTTCATCACGTCTAGGAAGCAGAAGTTCCCTTTGAATCCTCCGTCTGCAGCTCCACATCTGGGTCTGGGTCCAACATCTGGACTCAGACCCAGATTTAGATGATGGATATGGGCCCAACATCTGGACTCAGACCCAGATGATGGATATGGGCCCAACATCTGGGTCTGGGCCCAACATCTGGACCCAGACCCAGATGTTGGACCCAGACCCAGATTTAGATGATGGATATGGGTCCAACATCTGGACCCAGACCCAGATGATGGATATGGGCCCAACATCTGGGTCTGGGTCCAGATGTGGAGCTGGAGGTTTTTGTTCTGCTGGTTTAGATGCTGAAAAACATTTTTGTGATTTTTATGATTTCAGAGAAATAAAAACCAGAAGAAAAAGATCAGATGCAGGAATTTACGTTCTTCGTTTCTACGACAACATAAAGTGTTGAATAATCAGAATAAAATCCCGGCTGGGAGATAAATCTGCTTGTTGCTGCAACAGAAACTGGAAAACGTGATTTTATTTGATTTATCGGTGAAACGAGCAGCAGAAGGAAAAGCCTGTTAGGAAACAGTGAGAGGTCAGAGGTCACACGTGCAGGCAGAAATGACTCAGTGCCTACCTCTGACTTCCAGTGCTGATGGAGAAATGGAGGAGGAGGAGGAGGAGGAGGAGGAGGAGGATGGAGAGAAGAACAGACTGATGTGAGAAGATGGAAACTTCAGGAAACTAAAAACATATTTTAGAGGAAAGAAGCTGAACGAGTCTCAAAGATTCATGAATAACGAGGTTCGTGTCACGACTCGTCACACACACACCGTCCTCCTCCTCCTCATCATCATCATACCACAAACAAACAAACAAACAAACAAAGCTTGAGGCTGGCTCACAGGATCTTTGGGGTCTGATTTTTCTTCCTGATGTTTAATTTAGGTTTTATCCTCATTTATTAACAGGTTAACTTTTATTGTGTTAACTAGCCACTTTAATGGCTTTTATTTTGAAAATAAATGATAAAACCTAAAACTAAATATAAATAAACTTAAATAAAGTATTAAAATAAAAACCTGAATAAAGAAATAAAACATGAGAAATTCTGGTGAACTGAGCTGAGATTACGAGATTAAATAAAAGTGAAATAAAAATTAAATGTTAAAAATGCTTCAACAGTGAAAGAAAACATGAATGAATGAATGAATGAATGAATGAATGAATGAATCTGCAGCGTTTCAGCTCTAGAATAAAATATGTTCATAAAAACCAGATTTATTTTGACGTTTCCAACAGAATAAAACAGGATTATTAATCGATGCCAGAGCTAAAACCAGCATCTGTGATTATTATAATAAATATTTCAGGTTTTTGACTCAAACTAAAGATTTCATAAAAATAAAACGGACGTTTAATCCCACGCTTCTCAGAACCAGTCGTGTCCAGCAGGCCCATGTTGGACTCCTGGATCCCAGAATGGTTCTGAACCACGTACTGGGGTCCACCTGGTTCTGATCCGGTTCTAATTAGTTGGGGTGAAACGGAACAAAACCCGCTGAAGCTGAAATATTCTGATGACGAAAGTTTCTAAAAGGCTAAAAAATCACTAAAAACTACATCAACGAATCCCAGGAGTCGGAGCGGGAGAGCGGGAATCTTTGGATTCAGAGCTGGTTCACAGGGAAGCAGCAGCAGAAAGACTGAGACAGTTTTGCTTTCTACGGCAGCCTGGAGGGGACACGCAGCTCTGGAGCCTGGGACAGAACCGAGCCTGGGACAGAACCGAGCCTGGGACAGAACCGAGCCTGGGACAGAACCGACCCACACCCAGCAGACGACACTGACCTTCATCAGGTGTTTGTTGACCCATTTGGTGAAGGTCTTCTTCTGGACTCGGTCCCGCTCATCTGTGGAGAAACAGCTGGGATTTAATCCGTTTCATCGGAAAATCATTCCAGTAAAGATCGTCTCTAATTCAACGGGAAGTTTCTTTTCCATCTTTACTCATCCCACCTCCCATGAGTCCTGGGAATGAACAACTCACTCCAAACACTTCAGAAACATTCCCAGATTTCCTCCAGAGACTAACAGGGACACAGCGAGAGCCGGATTCGGACTCTCCTTCCTCCTGAGGAGGAACTTCTTTAAGCTCCTCATCAGTACCAGGAGGAAATCATCCGGAGCGTCTCCGTCTGCAGAAACACGTTCCACCTTGTGTGTCTGTTGCTATTTTGGTTCAGATTTCACAGTCTGATTATTCCCAACATTCCAGGAGCTTCTGCATTTGCCAGGGAATGTTTTCCTCACATTATTCCGCCTCGCAGCAAACTCCAAACCTTTAAACAGACGTTTCATTGGAGCAAAAGGAGAAAGTTTCTGATCCTGAATCGGATAAAAGCTGCTGAAGCCAAACAGAACCGGGTCACACAGTCAGAGCCTGTTTGGGAACGTTCAGGACCGAGACGTTCCCTCTGAATCAGGAACCACCGGAACGCCACTGGGTTTTAATCTATCATCCAAACCTGGAAAAACCTGGAGATTCTGATGGGAATGTTCTTCCGTCTGCCGGCGTGGTGCCGGGTTTTAGTTGGAGCTCTCCAGGAAACACGAGTGTCTGGACCAGGAAAAAGTTTTCCTGCTGATTTTATTTAGTTTGAGCTGCAGAAACGCGTCTGACACACACACACACATACACACACACACACACACACACACACACACACACACACACACACACACAGAGGGGTGTGGCCTGTGGGAAGCTGAGACCTCCACGGTCAGAGCCGAGCCTTAAACACAGCCAGACTACCTTTCCTGTGATCCGAGGACCGCAGCATTCCCTGGAACGGAGACGCCTCTATGAAAACCACATCACTCCCAAAGCTGTCAGAGGAATAGTTTCGGAACCGGGGTTCCATCTCCTCTCCGGTAATCCTAATCTGAGCCCAACAGCCGCGGCTGATCCAGAGACGATGCAGACGCCTGAATCCGGCTCCGGCTCAGTGGGAGTGTTCGGATCTGGGATTCAGGATCTGTTCGGAGCCGCAGGTCTCTCATCATCAAATTCCTGCCTGCGGGCCACGATGTCAGAGGCTGAGAGGAAGTTCTGCTCCTGGCCCGGCCCAGCAGCACACACCCAATCAGAGAGCTCCGAGCCAAACCCCTCCTCCTGGTTCTGGTTCTGCTCACGGGTCTTAATAGGAACCTTTAGAACCTTGTACCTTTCAGTTCTTCAGCTAAACTTCATTTTTATCTTGAACTGGTTCCAGAGGTGGGTTCTGGTTCTGAATGTTCCTGGACTGGTTGGTTCTGGTTCTGTCTAACTGGATCCTATCAGCTGAAGCCTGTAAACGGACCAGAACCAGACGGCTCTGGAGCCTGAGGAGACTCTGATTGGCTCAGAGAGCTGTCGCTCAAACGCTACCGATGCTGAAAGCTCAAGAGGGTTTCCATGGAAACCAGACTGATGTGAAAGAGTAAAAAGAAGACGGGAGTAAAATAAATGACGTCATTTATGTATTTCCTGTGTCCTTCACAATAAAAGCTTCTAATCCAGTTGATGAAATCAAAAAGAGGCAAATAAGAAAATATTTAACCTCATTTTCATAAAACAGGAAGATGGAGGACAGAACCGTTTACAGCTCAGTAATCCAGAACCTTCCTGGTCCGGAGTCGCACACAAACCATCTAGTCTCACTTCATCAGCTCCACGGATTCAACCAAAAACATTCCCTAATTTAGACCCAACAGAACCGGGCCACCGAGACCTTTTAATCCAACATCAAAGACCCAGAGTCGGCCTGGTCCCTGCTCCAGGACTCGGTCCGACAAACCCGGAGTTTCCATCTCATCTTTAGGGAACTTCCAGACAAACTGGATTTTTGACACATAACCCAGAGGAATAAGAGATGGACCGGACCAAGACCGTCTGCAGGAGGAACAGATTTAATCGGAACATCTGGATGAAGACGTGGAACCGATCCCTGAGCAGGAACACCTGAGAAGCTTCCAGACCTGAGAACTAGTCCCTGACACTCGGATATTTGGAATTCCTGCAGAGAGAGGAGACATGTTAGAACCTGAGAGACGACGCTGCTCGGGTTCATCCGGATGAAAACTGGACCTGAACATCATCCAGGAGGTTCTGCAGGATTCTGACCCTTTTAATCCAGAATAAGGACAATCTGAGAAGAATTCCAAATATTCAAGATTATAAAAATAATAAATCAACCTGGTCAGGATGCAGGAAGCTAAACTCGTGTTTGTTCTGCATGGAGGTTCTGCATGGAGGTTCTGATGGAGGTTCTGATGGAGGTTCTGATGGAGGTTCTGACTCAACCTGAAATATTTTCCTGGTTTTGATCAAATGGAGCAACAACTGAACATAAATATATGTCATGGTGACATTTCTGCTGGGAGACGCTTGGATTCCTGCTGAGGGTGTGACCCCCCCCCACACACACACACACACACACGCGCACACACACACACACACACACAGTGAAAGTTCATCTGAACAAGCGGTGGCACGCGAGGATGACAGGAATGTTCAGAGCATCCTCTGGATGATGGACAGGTGATCGTTGGACGATGGGGGGGGGGGGGGGGATGACAGCCTGCAGGGAATTATGGGAAGAAATTCCGACCTGGGGCTGCTCCGTCTTAAACTCAGGAAAACAGCAAAGAGAGAAAAACTAAACTTGTTTTCTGTGATTTGACATCAAATGATTAAAAAGTTTTAGAAGAGTTCCGGTTTAAACCGGCTGTGTGTGGTTTATTTTTGTCCTTAAAGTTTGTTTTATTCACCAGTAAATAGATTTGTTTTCTCTGGAAACACAAACATGTTTTATTCTTGTTAAAAATAAAAATATTTGAGTAAAAATGTAAACAGATCAGATCGAGTTTAGAAAACAATGAAACAGTTAAATGGTTAACTTTAGTTTTTGAGCGTTTATCCTTCCAGATGTTTCATTTCCGGGATAAATAACTTTAATTACCAGCAGTTCCAATAACTCCAATCACGTGACAGGGTTATGACGCTCAGGTGAATCAGAAGCAGGTTGTCTCCCCCTGCTGGTGGAAACCCGACACTGCTGAGGTCCGAGCGCGCGCTGGCCCACTACTCTCCGTCCTTCTGATTGGTCCACCGACAACGTGGGAAGATGTTTACATGAGTGGTTGTCATGGTGACGGAAACACACAGAAGCCCAGTCTAGTGCGTGCGTGTGTGTGCGCGTGTGTGCGTGCGTGCGTGTGTGTGTGTGTGTGTGTGTGTGTCAGCATGAAGAAGGAGGAAAAACTTCATCACATCATGTTGAACGTTTCTGTTCTGGTTCCACTCAGCAGGCGGAGCAGACCCACATGTGGTTCTGTTTATGGTCTAACCTTTGGAACTGGGTCAGAATGGCTCGGTTCTGCTGCAGGTTCTGATCCAAACACAGTTCTTTTAACCCCTTAAGACTAGGGGCTAATCAAAGATCTAAAGTAAAACCGTTTAAACACGAATGGATCATCACAAGTTCTGTTTCATTAGTTCTGACGGTTTTAGTCGATTAATCGAAGGTTGAACACCTGGAGAGTGGGCGGGATTCAGCTGTCAATCACAACCACAGCAAATAAACGGCGGTTTACGTGCGCCGCGGGAGTTTAAAGGAGTTCGGTTTGACCCAGCAGCTCCCCCACGGCCCCTCCCAGCCCGAATCTCCTCCCCCCTCCCCAGCAGGGAGCCGGTCCGTGCTCCGGTACCGGACCTACCTGCGCAGCACATCTGGCTGTACAGATGGAAGCCCACGTCCTCGCAGCGCATCTCGTGGATGAAATTCCTCCTCTGGTACGAAAAGTTCTGCTGCAGCCCTCCGGTCCAGGACGGGACGGAGGACCGGACCGAATCCTCCACCCCGGCCATCCTGCTGACTGTTTGTGGCGCGCTCACCGCGGAGCGCCTCGTACCTCCTCCCCCTCCTCCTCCCCCTTTATGGGAGCCACATGGAGGAGGAAAACAGTCGTGTCGGGTGTCAGAGTCCGGCCCACCGAGAAGAAACGGAACGCAGCCGGTACCACAGCACACCCTCCCACAGAACCACGTACCCGTCCAGCTCAACGCACAAATCAGAACCAGTCCTCAGAGACCCTGTGGGTTAGAGTCTGCGCTCCGAACTCTTCCGAACCGGAACGAACCGGGTCGAGCGGCAGAAAGCCGCCGGTAATAAATCATCAAATCCAGAACAGCTGCGCGTCGTAAAAACGTCCGCAGAACAGCGGAGCCTTTCTCTGTTTGCGCAAGAAAGAATTTCCAAAGAATTCTTAGTGGTTCTGGTTCCGAACCGGTTCTGTTCAGGCTGCACCAAACAGCTGAGCATCAAAACATCAGAACCCCCCCCCAAATAATCCTCTTAATCTGCGCGGATTTAACCCGAATCGGTTCAGTCCGAACAAAAAAAAAGTTTTTCATCCAAACTCAGAAGTTTCAAAATAAAAGCGGGGTGAGGAAACCCCCGCTCTGAGGTCTCTGGTGGTTTCCTGTTTTAACCGTTTAGTGGATGATCCCGGAGAACGTTTAGTTATTCCAGATTAAACAGATTAACATAATCTGACTTTAGACAGGATATCTCAGCACAATACTTTTATTTTGGTGGGCCAGTTTTAGCTTTTAAAGCGTCACAAAGTTTCTAAGATTTAGTTTTTATATCAAATTTAAATAATAAACGAAACATTCTTATTTAGATTAAAAGCTTCAGCCTCAGCAGCGCCCCCCCCCCAGCAGTAGAATGAGTCACTCCCCCAACCGCAGGTCTGAAGCTGGACCTGGACCCGGTTCCTGTTTAGACCTGGGTGTGGCATCCTGAAGGGATTAGGACGAGTCAGCGTTAAAGCTGGAGACACCTCTCTCCTCAGTGACATCAGAGACCTCCACATGAACCGTCCACAGGTGAAGGACACGCTCCGACCGTCTGCTGGGTCCGGTTCCAGGGGGAGGACCAGCGTTTGTTGTGACGGTCTCCAGGATACGAGTCGCCCCGCTCAGTTCACCGGCAGCAGCAGTCACGCGTGTCCGCCGGTTCTAAACTCGGCTCCCGGCTGGATCCCTCTCACCTTCCTGCTGCCACAAAGGCACCTTCATGCAAATCAGCAACCCATAAAACTCAAACTGGTTCACGAGTCGAACGGCGACACCAGGAAGCCCGGCAGAACTTTAAGCAGAACCAGAAGGTTCCTGCAGGTTCAGCTGACGTTTCTGAGTCTGTTTCTCTCTGAACCTTCGGGATCAGGTCAGAGGTCAGTCCTTAGGAAAGTGACAAACCCTCACCTTAGAGTCTACAGTTAGGTCAAAGGTTAAAGGTCACGACGGGATAGAGGCAGGTCGAGTTGGTTTAATCAGAAATGACTTCAGTATCAACGTTTACCCAGAATGCACCGCTGCACCAACAGCAGTCAGCACGGCGGGGGAGGAATGATGGTTTGGCCCGGTTCTGACCCAACTCTAAATGATAAATGAGCCGCACGTGCATAGCGCCTCTCAGAGTAAGGACTCCAGTGGGTTTGTTACTCCTGCTAACAGCTGATTTAGTGAGGTTTATCTCACTCGGATAAACTCCACAGAAAGGTCTGTCTCTCGTGTTCGAGGCAGATGACTTTCAGACTTTTGACGTTGCTCTAAGTATTTAGTGGTGAACTTTCAGGTGTGATGGGTTCTGACCCGACTGGTTTCTGTGGATCTGCAGGCTGGAGCTCCCTGAGGCGCTGCGGCTGCAGGGCGGCACGGGGACGGATTAAGCCAACAGTAAACGGACCGGCCTCAGGTGTGTCTGGTGTCATTAAAGCTGCAGGTAACCTCCACGCCGCATACCTGGGTGAAGGTCGGAATGAGGGATGGTGTGTCAGACGGGAGGAAACAGCAGAAACTAGCTGAACAGGTGAGTTATCACCTGAGAGGAACCCAGTGGGTCAAACAGAACCAGCAGAACCCAAACCAGTGCAGACTGGTTCCTCCCAGCATTTACAGGGTTAACATCAGCAGCTCCGACAGGAAACTGAGCCGGTGAGGGACGAGGGGGGGGGGGGGGGGGCAGGGGGTGTGGGAGGAAAGAGCAGGAGTGTTCGCCATGAGAGCGGCAGAGACGGAGGAGACACTGGACGGAGACGGGTCCTACCTGTCCTCCAGCGGGTCCTCCACTGCCAAACAACGATCAAGGTGACGATGTGTCCCGCCACCACCAGGGCCGGGAACACACTTCCAGGGGGGCCGGTCGGCATCGGGCCGGGTTTAAAGTGGAAGGTCCCGGGCTGGGAGGGCTGGGTTAGGACGGCCAAGACGGGAGGGGAGGGGAGGGGGCGCGTCTAGGGGTGTGGAGCCATCCCGGGCTTTCGGACCAGCCTGCTGCCAAGTTCTCCGGGAGTTTTATGAGGCAAAGCAGGAAAAAGTTACCTCCCCCTGCTGCTGTCCCTGTGACTCTGTCCTCCCTCCCTCCCTCCCCCTTTACTCACACCGCTCCCCTCCTCACTCATCCACCTCCTCTGATCCCGAACACTCTTCCCAGGTCTCCACACCTGCAGCTCCAGAGCCTGACGGAGCTAAACGGAACTTTCTGGCCTAGACGGACTTCTGCTTTCAGTCTGCAGGATTTGGATCAGAGGCGACCCCGCCCGCTGCAGGAAGTTAATAATAAATGAAGCTTACACACACACACACGCACGCACGCACACACACACACACACACACACACACACACACACACACACACACACACACACACACACACACACACACACACACACACACACACTGGCCAGCCTTGATAAGAGGGGAACAAAGTTTCCAGCTCAGATCCACTTTTCCGTCGTGGTTAACGACACCCAGATGATCCAAACAGCTCCTTCCTCCAAACATTTACAATAAAACCTCCACATTTACTCCCCATCCCATAATAACCCACTCTTTATCGCCTCTTATGTAACGTTCCTCTGAAGCTAATTGCTTCCGTGTGTTGGGACGGCTCAGCCAGATTCCCAGAATCCTTTTCAACTGGATTCAGTTTTCCCACCAAACTTCCTTTTCCATGAGGATGATTCCACTTTCAAACCCAGAGGTTCCGAAGGGAAAAGTTCTCCTAAACATCAGTAGGGATGATGATGATGGTCGCGGTGCTCGTCTCCATAGAAACGACCCCTCCCAAACCCGTTTAAACACCTGAAACTTCAAAGCCACCGCCCGGCTCAGAGCGATGATGTCAGAGAGCAGCTGGTGCTGAAACCCAACACCTGAGCCGGGGTCACCAGAGCAGCGTGCCGACCGCTCCGTAAACAAAAATAGAAGAGTTCCTGTCGTCTGCTACTCGACCCAAATCCAGAACCGGAACACGATGGAGAACCTAAACTCTGTTAGAGATGACTGGATGCCTCAGATGCGAGTCCAACGTGTCCCAGAACGACGGAAAGACCTGCAGAACGAGTTTAACCCAAAAGGAACGAGTCATCTTTTCAGTGTGACCTGCTGGGTTCTGAAGCAGGATATCCAATTCTGGGCCTGGAGGGCCGGTATCAGTACGTTTTAGTTCCAGCACACCTGATTTCAGCACTAGCAGGCTTCTGCAGAGCCTGAGGAGCGGCTGAAGGTCATCCAACCACGGAGTCTAGTGTGTTGGAGCAGAGAAACCACTAAAACGTGCTGGAGACCCACCCTCAAGGCCCAAACTTGAATAGCTCTGTTCCAAAGGTTCTAGAGGGTTTCTGGTATAAAATAGGCTAATTTCACTGAGGTTTGCAGACGTTTCATCATTTTAGAGTTTGTTTCTGTGTAAAAGTTTTCTAACCCCTGAACAACCTCCGTTCACAGAAATAGTGTTTACATCCTACAGGACCGGTGAGCAAGTCAGTCCAGGCTTTTCGGCTAGTCTGAGCTAACGGTTTGTCTAAGTTGATGGCTAGTCTGAGCTAACGGTTTGTCTAAGTTGATGGCTAATCTGAGCTACCGGTTAGTCTAAGCCTAAAGGCTAATCTGAGCTAACGGTTAGACTAAGTTGATGGCTAGTCTGAGCTAACGGTTTGTCTAAGTTGATGGCTAATCTGAGCTACCGGTTAGTCTAAGCCTAAAGGCTAATCTGAGCTAACGGTTAGACTAAGCCTAAAGGCTAATCTGAGCTAACGGTTTGTCTAAGTTGATGGCTAGTCTGAGCTAACGGTTTGTCTAAGTTGATGGCTAATCTGAGCTACCGGTTAGTCTAAGCCTAAAGGCTAATCTGAGCTAACGGCTCATCCAAGCTAACGGCTAGTCTGAGCTACTGGTTAGTTTAAGCTAAATGCTAGTCTGAGTTAACGGTTAGTCTAAATTTATGGCTAGTCTGAGCTAACAATTAGTCTAGGCTAAAGGCTAGCCTAAACTAATGCTAGTCTAAGCTAATGGTTAGTTTAAGCTAAATGCTAGTCTGAGTTAACGGTTAGTCTAAATTTATGGCTACTCTGAGCTAACAATTAGTCTAGGCTAAAGGCTAGTCCAAACTAATGGCTAGTCTAAGCTAATGGTTAAGCTAAATGCTAGTCTGAGTTAACGGATAATCTAAGCTAAAGGCTAACCTGAGCTAACGGTTAGTCTAAATAAAGGCTCGTCTGAACTAATGGTGTTATGGAAATGTTACATTTCCTTGTTTTAATCCCGTTAACAAATGTCCTGAAGCATTCTCACACTCACACTCAGACACACACACACACTGTTCTTCCCCTACACTCATACACACACACTGACTCTCTCTCCTCTCACAATGACCTCACTCCCGTCTTTATCTCCTTGTTTAAATAAACTCTGTGATCAGATGTTCGGGGCATTTTGCCTCGTGCATGTGCCGCAGTTATAACTGGTTGACTTGTCTAAATGTGTCTCTCCTTTTCTCTTGGACCAGGAAATGGGTTTATTGGTAAACATATTGATAAAATCCACGACTAATGGATAGTCTAAGCTAAATGCTAGTCTTAGCTAACGGTAACATAAACCGTTGGAAGTCTAGGCGTTGTGAGTGGATTTAGCTTGCCCAGAGATTGTTGGAGACTGGCATCAGCCCCCCAAGACCCTGCGTGGATAAGCGGGTTTAGAAAACGGTTGGATGAGCTGATTTACGAGGGTAACACACATTGGTTTTCACTCAGACTAGCCGTTAGCTCGTTGGTCCTGAAGCAGGTAAAAGCTACTTCTCTGAACAGAGGCTGTTCAGGATGCTAGGTAGGATGAAATTATGAATGACTTTTAGGGTTAGAAACTCGTCAGAAAGATGAAACGCTCCTTTAGGTCCCACCACAGCATCTCAGTCAGCTTCTGGTCTGGACTCGGACTGGGCTTCTGTTTTAGACCTGCTGCTGGATCATGGTTCTGGTTCTGAACCGGTTCAGGTCCAAGCTACAGACAGATGGCATCACATTTGGGTCTAGAACACTTTGGTGTCCAGAGGAGTTCTGCTGGGTCAGAACCAGCCCAAACCATCAGCCCTCCTCCACCATGCTGACAGCTGGGATGGGCTGATAGTGCGGTGGTGCATTATGGGTAAACGTCAGACGAATCTGCACCACCCTGCCTGGGCGGCCATGTTGTTTTTATTTGTCAGAGATGACTCGGCGTGGGCCGGGTCGTCGGAGGCTGGATCGGTTTCATTTTCAGACCTGATTAGTTTGTTTTTGGTTCCTGGAGGGAAAACAAAGTGAAAATGAAAGTGAGGATAAGTTTCCTCTCAACTCAGCAGAAGAGCGCCGACAGCAGGAAAGGTCAGGTGTTCGGGAGCGGCTCGTTGGGTCGGAACCAGGAGTGAACAGAACCTTGAAAGGATCAGAAGCTGGCAGCACAACAGCCGGACAAAACAGAACAGACGTTAAAAAAATCCACCCAGCACTCTGATGGGCGGAGCCAACCCACTCCCACTCCCCCACATGTGGACACTCAATGATTCCCAGATTCTCCCACCAGAACCCCGGCTACACATTCCAGAACTATAGGTTCTGCTCATATAGACCCGCTGACGAACGTGGCAGCAGAAGCCAGGAGGTCTAACCCACTAACAGCTCTGGGAGTGGCGTCCTGCTGCCATGCATAATGCAGGGAGCAGAGTTCCTTCCTGACGCAGCATCCTCACGCGCACGGATCCAAAAGGATCCAATCCTCAGACAAACATCTGACCTACCGTCTCGTGGCCCAGGACAGAAGCAGCACAACTCCATCTCCTCTCAGCAGCTCCTCCACTTTAAGTGAAAATGCAGAACTGCCAGGGAGTCGGCTCTGACCTCACGACATTGTGTTCTGATCAAACCAGGGGGGCGTGCAGAGGAGGAAGAAAAAGCATCAGGGAGCGCGGGGGGAGGACGGCCGGGGCGAGGGAACTCTCAGCATTTCATTCGTCAGACTTTCCTCAGTGGAAACAGCATCTGACGAGCGGCGCTGGGTGGGAGCCATGCCAGAAACTCCCAGGGTCACGCTTTCTTACAGGATTTGGAGCAAGAGAGGAAAACGGGAGCTGCTGTTTTTCCAACACGCTGCTGAAACAAAGGCTTGTTTGTGGAAGTCGTAAAACTCTGGACACGGTGGAGTTAAGCCACGGAGTCCAGAGGATGTGGACCGCTCAGAACCAGAACACAAAGATGTCTGCCTTTAGTTTCAGGGAGAGGCTCCAGGTTTCCTCTAAAATACATGTCTGTAGAAACGGAGAGGCGGGAATGCCAGGCATCAGCGATCTGGGTTCACATAAATACAAACCATCACAGTTGCACCGATTCTGGGTTTGAGGGCCGATTTCTGACTCCTCCAGCTGAAGCAGATTCATCTGGAGTCCTAAACCTCCGCAAGGAGGACCGGTCACTGCCGGCATGAGCGAGCACTTAGCAACGCAACAGGAAATATGGTGGACATAATTGATCGTGGCTTGGTGGTGCATTCACAGACCTAAAGAAAAATTGGCTGATCAAGGATTAATCTGATCCAGCTGAAAATCCACCAGGAACGTAGAGGTGCGAGAACATC